TTTAGGCTAACAATGCATGCTATATAGCTTGGTAAAATAAGAAATCAAGCTTGCATACATTACATATAAAGCCCTGCAACATGGAGAAACTTAGAAATTCTTTCCTCTGTAAAGGCCCTGTCATACTAAGCTATGTCCCCACAGAGTTAATGTGGCCATGTTAAATTTTTAGCTCACCTGAGCCGAAGGCTCAAGTGAGCTTTTCTGATCACATTTTGTCCGTCGTCCGTCCGTCTGTCTGTCTGTCCGTCCGTCTGTCCGTCTGTCTGTCTGTCTGTCTGTCTGTCCGTCTGTAAACTTTTCACATTTTCGACTTCTTCTCAAGAACCACTGGGCCAATTTTGACCAAACTTGGTACAAAGCATCCTTGGGTGAAGGAGAATCTAAATTGTTAAAATGAAGGGACATATTCCCTCGCAAGGGGAGATAATCAAGAAAAGACAAAAATAGGGTTGGGTCATTAAAAAATCTTCTTCTCAAGAACCACTGGGCCAGTAAAGCTGAAACTTATGTGGAAGGATCCTGGGGTAGTGTAGATTCTAAATTGTTCACATCATGACCCCCTGGGGAAGGGCGGGGCCACAATGGGGAATCAAAGTTTTACATAGAAATATATAGGAAAAATCTTTGAAAATCTTCTTCTCAAGAACCACTGGGCCAGAAAAACTGAAACTTATGTGGAAGCATCCTGGTATAGTGTAGATTCTAAATTGTTCACATCATGACCCCCAGGGGAAGGGCAGGGCCACAATGGGGAATCAAAGTTTTACATAGAAATATATAGGAAAAATCTTTGAAAATCTTCTTCTCAAGAACCACTGGGCCAGAAAAGCTGAAACTTATGTGAAAGCATTCTGGTATAATGTAGATTCTAAATTGTTCAAATCATGACCCCCAGGGGAAGGGCGGGGCCACAATGGGGAATCAAAGTTTTACATAGAAATATATAGGAAAAATCTTTGAAAATCTTCTTCTCAAGAACCACTGGGCCAGAAAAGCTGAAACTTATGTGGAAGCATCCTGGTATAGTGTAGATTCTAAATTGTTCACATCATGACCCCCGGGGGAAGGGCGGGGCCACAATGGGGAATCAAAGTTTTACATAGAAATATATAGGAAAAATCTCTGAAAATCTTCTTCTCAAGAACCACTGGGCAAAAAAAGCTGAAACTGATGTGGAAGCATCCTGGTATAATGTAGATTCTAAATTGTTCAAATAATGACCCCCAGGGGAAGGGCGGGGCCACAATGGGGAATCAAAGTTTTATATAGAAATATATAGGAAAAATCTTTGAAAATCTTCTTCTCAAGAACCACTGGGCCAGAAAAGCTGAAACTTATGTGGAAGCATCCTGGTATAATGTAGATTCTAAATTGTTCAAATAATGACCCCCGGGGGAAGGGCGGGGCGACAATGGGGAATCAAAGTTTTATATAGAAATATATAGGAAAAATCTTTGAAAATCTTCTTCTCAAGAACCACTGGGCCAGAAAAAGTGAAACTTATGTGGAAGCATTCTGGGGTAGTGTAAATTCTAAATTGTAGGAATCATGACCCCCGGGGGAAGGGCGGGGCCATTATAGGGAATCAAAGTTTTACATAGAAATATATAGGAAAAATCTTTGAAAATCTTCTTCTCAGGAACCACTGGGCCAAAAAAGCTGAAACATATGTGCCCATGGAAGGATCATGGGGTAGTGTAGATTTCAAAATGTCTAAATTATGATCAGTAGGGTAGGGTGGGGATGCATTATGTATAACAAGGGGGAAATCTGGTAAAGAACAGAATGGTCAAAGCTTCTCAGGTGAGCGATGTGGCCCATGGGCCTCTTGTTTAAATTACCACGGAATTGCACAAATTTCTGAAAATTTTACAGATGTCATAGCATCTCTATTGCAACCAACACATTTCTACGGTGTTCTCGTTGCATGCTACACACTGCATTCCCTCAGAGATCTCTAGGTGATTGACTTTACTTATACAAAGTTTTCACAGCGACTTCTAGTAGTTGTCACCTAGTGTTCATTGCATTCTCACTGCCCTAGCTGCATTCAAGGACTCTGTGAGGTCTCAATGGAAGCAGATTCTTCTATATTGCACTGACGTACAATCATGTGTCTTTTCAGTGTGCTATACCCCAAATGAGGAATCATATCTATATATATAAAAAATTGTATTTTAAGTGTGATATAATTACATCGTTGAATGTAAAAATCATGGAAAAGAAATTTTCTATGGTTTGTGGTAAGATTAAAAAAAATGAACACAATATGCTGGACAAATTCAGAGTTTATCCCAAAACACATAAGTTAAACTATCTCTGTAGTAGCATCATTGAAAGACTGAATATCAAATCTGAAGTTATATGCTATTATTATACCCTTGCTCCGAAATATTGTGAGTATACAATGTAAACCTTTCGTTTCTGTATGTGTGTCTGTAAGAAATTTCCATCATAGTTTTCTCAGCAATTACCCATTGCAGAAGCGTGAAATTTTAACACACTATTCGTTTATTGTATGATTGTATGTTGCTTTCAGTCCCATTTGAGAATTTTTCACTCATACAGAGACATCACCATATACATGTGAAAGCTTCAAATTTTGACCTATACTCTGCACTCAGGGCTATTGAGCAGGGAGGGTTCTTTATCCTGCCAACACCTGCTTTGACAAGGGACCAAGGTTTTTAAGGTCTCATCAGAAGGACCCACAACTTTCACTTCAAAGTGCCAAGTGCTTGGCAAAGAAACAGTTGCTACCCATTTTTTATTGACTTGGGTCAGTCGCAGTCAACACTCTTTGTTTAGGCATGCCAATTATGATTGGATTCATTTTTATATAAAATCTTCCAACTTCCTGTCAACAGTCAACTTCCTGTTTATGTAGATTCTTAATTATACACGCATTAATTAACGTAATTTCGCGAGAGGCATCACTGTCTCGCGAAATAAAATTACTTGTTTTTATTGGGGCTGAAATCCATAAGATATATTTGCATAGCAATTTTTCGCAGTTTTCTCATCAGCTACTCATTGCAGATACCTGAAATTTTAACACACTCTTTGTTTAGGAATGTGGCATGATGCCATATGATGGGATTCATTTGTAATGGTTTGGGCCGTGGATATCGGCCTGGATAGCTCAGTTGGTAGAGCACCTGACTAGTGATGCAGGTATCCTGGGTTCGATTCCCGGTCCAGCCATACATTTTCTCCTTTCCTGTTATTAGTTTTGGTGCCTTGACCACCCTGGAATTGCAGGTGAAAGTCCTACCAGGGGGTAATAAGAACTTGGGTTGTGTCTTCGAGGGCGAATACCATTTAACGAGGGAGGAATGTAAAGGTTCGGGCCATGGATATCGGCCTGGATAGCTCAGTTGGTAGAGCACCTGACTATAGTGATGCAGGGGTCCTGGGTTCGATTCCTGGTCCAGCCATACATTTTCCCTTTTTCTGTTACAGATTTGGTGCCATTAACCACTCCTGGAACTGCAGGTGAAAGTCCTACCAGGGGTTAATAAGAACTTGGGTTGTGTCTTCCCGGCGAAGACCATTTAAGGTGGGAGGAATTTAATAGTTTGGGTCATGCATACTGTAAACCAACTTTTATTCGCGACGACTTTATTTCGCGATTAACCAGGGGTAAACTAGTTAGGGACGACTAATTTTCGCGATCAAGCCTTTTTCGATCTGTTTTAAATTGACACAGATACTTTAAGTTCTGATTCGCAGCGAGAAATATTCGCGATGACGAGGCTGTCGCAAACTTCGCGAAAATTTCTCGCACGCGAATAAAAGTTGGTTTACAGTATCAGCATGGATAGCTCAGTTGGTAGAACATCAGACTTGAGATACAGGGTTCCTGGGTTTGATTCCCAGACCAGCCATACATTTTCCCCTTTCCTGTTACAGTTTTGGTGCCACTGACCACCCTGGAATTGCAGATGAAAGTCCTGCCAGGGGGTTAAAAGAACTTGGGTTGTGTCTTCGAGTGCGAATACCATTTAAGGAGGGAGGAATGTAATGGTTTGGTTTGGGCAGTGGATATCAGCCTGGATAGCTCAGTTGGTAGAGCACCTGACTGGAGATGTAGCGGTCCCGGGTTGGATTCCTGGTCCAGCCATACATTTTCTCCCCTCCTGTTACACATTTTTGTTCAAATTCCAAGTCTAAAACTGAACTTTTGTGTATTCAAATAAGAGCATAATTTTCACATCAGACATGATCAGAGTGAGGGTATTACTTCTGAGCATTGGCTCAAAGAACTTTCTCTTGTATAGCCTATGAATTTCTTAAACTGCAGTTTTTGTTCAATGTTCTTCCAAGCATCTGCAATGATTGCCTTTGAGACTAGATGCAGAAAAGCTTATTAATTTTGCTCAAATATCATTCTAGACATCCATGAAGATTGACGTACTGTAACTTACTGCTCTGCTAGACATATTTAAGCACTAATGAATGGGTTGCTCAGTACACAAGTCAATTCTTAATGTCTAGTATACCAAACGTTCCAAAAAGGTACTTGATGGCTAAATGCTAGTGAAAAGTAAATTATACTTGTTTGATTGATTAAATATATATAATTCTTAGAGATTAGTATTAAGGGTAGTAATTAATGTAGACAGAATATCTACCAAATTAATCTCTCTAATAAAAGAGTTCCCATTAATAGCCCTCTGGGTAGATTAAAAATATCCCTATTCGGGGTAAATGAATGTGTCACTTTAAATGAGGCATGCTGAACAAGCAGTAGTCGCAATTTTGTTTAGAATTTAAACTGGCTATTTACTGATCTGTGTGCATGGTTTTTTAATCTTGAAGATTTAAAAATCTGATATGCTTTAACTTGTAGGATTAATGGAAAAATTCAATAATCAATTATGGGTTTAAGTGTTTAGGAAGGTGAAAATATTCTCCCTTCTTGAAATTTTAATTTCTGGGATTGTAGAGTGGGACTGTGGGTTGAAGCATTGTATGAATGTTTGTTGTACGTTATCTTAGAGATTGTAATGAATTAGGGTGACATTAGGGGACCTCAAGCTGCGGTTAATCCTGAACATGGTGTCTCCTCTGAAAACACTGTGCTATATCATCATAGTTTTAATTGTCATGGATCTTTAGCATATTTAAATAAAATCTTTTCCGTTTCTAAATATTGATTTAAATAGAATTAGCACATGAAAACCGTTCAACCCAATAACACAGATCAATATGGCTGAGGGTTTTTAAATGTCTCTGGCACTTTAAATTGGGCCTTTAGAGTTGTAACGAGCTAAATCTTGTTTCCAATGGTAGTGGCATTGTGTATAGAAACTCGATAGAATTCGGGCCAGCACTACTGTATTGAAGCCTTCTCTGTATATAGATAAAGAATCACCTTGTTTATGAGGGGATATACTGAGCTGCCCCATCTTAGGCCAGTTATGGAAATTTTATGATATATGTGGAGTAAACAAATGGATAGACATGCTACCTTAAGTTGAACACAAGTAACAGGAAAATCCACAGAACATGCAAAATCCGGACACCAAGGGTAAGATATTTGACGGATGATTGACATTTAAGGTTCACAAGTCATTCTGGGAAGTTTGCATTGTAATTTACAGGAATGGATGGAAGATCAGTAATGGTTTTAAACTGTTTGTATTTGCTGGAAGAGACATGGTTACTGTTTGTCTGAGAAGTGTACTAGGATTTTCTTTGACAACCAAAAAAAAGATTTTCTATATTTCATGGTCATTGAGGTCAAATCTGGACTCCTTGACATGATGAATCAATCATACTATCTTATTAAATTTAAATAAATTGATTTATTTTTCTAATGCTTAATTATTTAGATAATTTTCAGGCTAAATTGGTTGTTTTGGGCCTTAATATCTGTCTTCAACAATTTTTGGACTATTCAAGTTCTGCCAAGATTCAAATAATGCAAACATACTTATGGTTCATAATTTTACAGAATCCCAATTTTACTTCAATTACCAAGAAAATAATCTAGATTAATCCTTGGATTGACAATGTTATAATTTTCCTTAGTAGACTTTAAGTAAGCTCAGTGACAAATTTCAAAGGAAAAAATTGTAATCACAGATTAAATTTACTCCCAAACCAAAAAAAAAGTTCATCTAGAGTATTATCAGAAATCCTAATTCTTGGACAGTGTCAATGTATAAAAACAAATCTACCTGTACATCCCAGAAATCCATTGACATTTTACATCTGAATTACCTAAGAAAACCATTTGGCAATGCCTAAAAGACATATATAGCAAGTGCCAGGGATGAACAATTTTCAAAAATACTAGTCAGAAATGAAAACCAATACTTTATGAATTCATATTAAATGTGTTTGTTAGTTATCTGTGCTGAACATAGGTACTGTACAACACAATTGCAATGGTTTTGAAATGCGGTTACCTGGTGAAATTTACAATTTTACATAGATACAGCATGAATAATGAAGGAAAATGAATGGGTTGATGTATGTGATGAATAATTTACCATAGATATATGGGTCAGATCTGGAGTACTGGTAGATATGCAGTGATAAAGTACCCCTGTTACTGATATTTGATCCTGGGTGGCTTACAGCAGTGTTGTCGTACAATTTGGTCATTTGGCATTCAACTACAGTCAACTTTATGTCCATCTAGTCCCCCCTCCCTAGTTCCATCCCCCTCTCTTCCCCAAAACAACAAAATTCTTTAACATTTTCTAGCAAAGTATATATATGACAATCAGTTTGCTAAAATGATATTGCAGTTTGTTGCTCTGTTGCTAAAATAGCACTTCTACAGAAAAACGGTACCCAAGTCAATGATGAAGGAGTAACAGTAGCAAAGGAGTCATAAAAAAGGCACTGCATTTATGTTTACATTCATTTGAATAATTGAACAAAAAATTGATTTTGCAGCCTGTTAAAGCATTGTCCTTCATCATATTTTTTCACTGTTTTAATTAAATGCTGTTTACCCCTCAGTAATCAAGGATTTGTTACCTCCCAGCCAGATGCCTTATAGCTGCTTTGTTGACAGGAAAGTCTTATGTCACTATAGGTAAAATCAATTAGACAGGATCGATTGGATTTGTAATTGAACTTGTTATGTTTTAGCAAATCTCATCAAAAACTGTGCCATTTCAAAAAGTTAATTCTTATTGGCTCAAAAGCAGCAGTGTCCTCTTATGATTCTATCAATAAAATTGTATATTTGTCTTGTCTCTGTATCAAAAACAAGTTTAAAATCCATTTAATTCATAAAAAAGTAATTTCTGTATTATCATTCACACAGTCAGCAATAGATTCCTAATGCGTTGCATACTGTGAAATCTATTGTACAAACTCTGTAGAGGAAATTGAACTGTTCGTATTGTCATTCTCGGTGGCAATATTGTGCTAGTTTCCTTGACTCCACATTGTGCTGGCAGATACCTTTAATGTGCTTTGGAGGAAATTCTTTTTTTCATTTATAATTAATTTTTCTGATTTTTTTCTGCTCTACCAACAATAAATTCTTTTGAATAGGTTTCCAGGCAGTCAAAAAAGCTTATTAATTAAAGATTATTGACTTCATCAAGACTGCGCATTTAAAATTATTAATCGTTTTTCTGGTATGACATATACTGGTAGGGTATTATATATTAAATTATTTTTTTTCTACTTTGATAATTTCTTCACAGTTTATTTTACTTTATTATAACTGCATAATTGTAACAATCTCCATAAATGTTAAAATTGTTGTTAACTTGCTTTAAAATTTTATGTGTTTTTTATTTTTATCTTTAGTTAATTTTATTTTATAGATGCACCAGCAGAAAACAAAACTGAGGGTGCCACTGGTACAGACCCAGGTAAACCTGACACCACTAAGAAGGAAGCCACTGTCAGTAAACTGGAGGCCACAAACTCAGATAAAACTGACAGTCAGACGGTCAAACATGACAGTGGACTGAACCCAACCAAACCAGATACGGCCAAAGACAAACCGGACACCACCAAAGACAAACCGGACACCACCAAAGACAAACCAGCTGATACCATAAAAGAAAAACCGGATACCAATAAAGATAGCACCACCAAGGAAACCAAAGAGGAGGCATCAAAAGAAAAGATAAAGAATGGGAAAAAGTCCCCCCATGTCCGCTCTACCAGGCTCCCCGCCTGTAGCCTCCCCGTTAACATGCAGCCGACATTTTACGTGGGTGGAGGAAACGGTGTGTCACTGTAAGTCACTGCCGGGTGTACTTAGTCTGGGTGTGGGTATTAAGGATCAAAATTAATTGTCTATTGTCTTCTATTACAAGATTGTAATATACAGTGAAGCCTCATTCATTCAGACACTAACAATCCAGTACTGGAACCAACTTCAAGACAATATTTGGGGGGAACATAATTTACATTAAAGCTGAACTTGACTTGTAAATATGCATAGGCCATATTAGATTTTCTATCTCAGATATCAGCACTGGGGTATATACTTCAGATTTGTCACATCTGACTACTTTCTTGTCATGGGTACCTGCTTTGAATGGATGACAAGTTTCTTTTACACATTCAGCTTTTGTATCTGCTGTAATTAAGAAAGATATATCCTCACAGTCTTCCAGAGGCTTTTTTCATCCCAAGGTTTTTCTTAAGAACACAAGTCTCTGGATAAATGAGGCACTACTGTATGTACTTCAATAAGAGTCTCAGCTTTTAAGCAGTATACTTACATATTTGGGAAAAAAGAAGATAAATTATGTTTGTATAAGAGGTTCCAAAAAATTAATTCTTTTAAGAAGCAATAGAGAGCACTATCCTCATTTTTACACATGTATATGAAAGACAAAATAAATGGTGTTGGCCTTAATGCTAGTTCTAAAATCTGCATTTGGTAGGTCTGAAAAACATAAACATTTAAAAGAGTAGTATCAAAGGTGAAGCTAACTATAAAAAGCAAAGATAAATTGTTGGAACTAAAATGATAAGCAATTCTTAATGTTATTTGTATGTGACAAAGTTTTAATTCTAATAAAAGCAGTACCGGTATTTATCTATAATGTGAAAAGCATGACTGTGTATCTTTCAGAGCAATATGGCATGAATGTCTAAGGTTTCAAAAATACTTAATTTATTCTATTATGGCACATTAAATGTTGAATAAGGGTTTATTACTATGTAAACATATCCTGAATTTTGATTTATCACTAGAAAGACACAGCATCCAAAACCACAAATAGGGACTTCAAAATATTTAAAGTGATTTTCAAATCCTTGGTATTGTCTATTATCTCAGAACTTGAGAGACTCTGTTGTCGTTTTGTAAGACACCTGAAATTGATCACCTTCAGCCAAAGTGTTCACAATTCAATGGAAATGTAAATAAGATAGACAAACTGTTCTTACAGAGTGGAGGCCCCACTACTCAATCTTGGATGGAAGCGGACCAATGACAAATATGATGAGCGTTTTAGACTGAAGTGGGTGGAGTGCAAGACTAGAATCAATTACAGTGCTTTCAAAGAAGGTATATAGATTTGAAAATGAATTCAAGGATGGTGTATTCCTTCGTAAGATTTATAAATACAAAAACCTTTTATTAAAATTCAGAGTTATTGACTGATATTAATTACTGGTATGTCAGACAGCTAAGAGTCCATAACCAAAATCTCTTTTCTTTTTGTATAATTTATTTAATAAGTTTGCTTTGCTTCTTCTCCCTCTAGCAATGTGTTTACCATTATATCCTAGGTTAATTTTTTAAAAAATATATATTTATATATAATAATATAATAATACATGTATTCATGCTCCACATTCCTGTTATTAAGTAGACTCTTTCTTGCAATAACTGCATATGAACAAATTAACAATCATTGTCAAAACATTGGTGTCATTAATTTTGTGTGTATATGATTCACACTAGACCCGAAAGTTTAAAATGCTTTCACAATAGATGTAATCAACTATGTCAATAAATGTTCCAAGTTTAAATGATAAATGCTTAATCAGTATTGCAAAGTGAAATCGAGAAACTGTAAACAGTCACAAAAACATAAGACAGTTGTAACCTTATACTGAAGGAAGACACCTGTAAATAAAGTTCAAGATTTCAAATACAAATATATGTATTTTATGGTTTTAGAAATGCAACAATTTTTTTTTCATGAAAATAAATTGATAAACTTGCATTAAGATCATCAATTTTTTAGCAGATTCTACACAAAAAACTCTATGAAAAAAAATGTCCTTTCTTTCATTTTTCTTATACATGTGTACTGTATGTGCATCTTTTAAAACAATTTCATACACAACTTGTATTCATCAACATTGTACTGGTTTTAGGTGAACAGTTGGTTAATCACATCCCTAATGGAAACCTTCTGACTAATAAACTGGGACTTCTCAACAGTCTCCAGGAGTATGAAAGAGTTACCATGAGTACCAAAGGTCGACCTCCCAGGTTACGCTTCACTGACTTTGTTCCCGAGACCTACAGATTTGATGAAAAGCATGACCGAGAAGTGTTCTTGGAACGGTATAAAGGTGTGTCATTTTCTACCTATAAAAGTATTTCTAGAATTTTTAAGAAATCTAATTCCTTTACTAATTCTTTTACTGTAAACTGTTTAACTTTTATTTGCGACAACTTTATTTTGCAATTTATTGGAGGAAAACTAATTTGCGACAATTAATTTTCGTGATCAAGCTTTTTTTGATCTGTTGATAATAGACACAGAGACTTCAGCACTGTGTCACAGCGAGAAATATTTCAAAATGGTGAGGCTCTCATGAAAATTTCTCTCATGCAAATAAAAGTTGGTTTACAGTATATGAAAGTGAATTTTTTCCATTAATCTGTTGTTTTTATGTTCCTTGGCAAAAGGTCATTTGTTAATTCAAGAACTTCCTTAACCTTGTGCAACAGATATTGAGATATCCTCACAAAATTTTAACAGTGAGATAATTTGACTTTGCGTTTTCAGACCCGGAGCTTTGGATCTGTAAGCCCACAGGTATGAATCAGGGGAAAGGAATCTTTATCATTAGGAGTCGGGAGGAGGTTAACAAATTGATAGAGGAGCGCGAGCAGAGGAGGGAACAGCTGGCCAAGTCCTCAAAAACCATGATGACCCGCATTGTACAAAAGTAAGGGGGATAACTTATAATGATGCGCACAGACAGAAATACAATTGAATTAAGTAATATGATAGAAAACAACAGAATTTTCTTAAAAAAAATAGCTAAAATTTAATTGTTTATGATTTGAAATTTCCTTTTTTTTCTTCAGTTGAGGTCTTTCATTGTTTTTTTTTTATCTCGTGTACTTTTTTTCTATTTAAAAGGTATATAACCAATCCATTGCTTCTAACTGAGAGGAAGTTTGACATCCGTGCATACATGTTGATTGCCAGTACAACCCCTTATTTGGTGCTATATCACAAAGGCTATGTGAGACTGTGTTGTAACAAATACAATGAAGATTCCAAAGAGTTGTCTACACACCTAACTAACCAGGTAAATAACCAAGCTCACTAGCAAAGTATTTAATCCAGCTTGTATTCAGCTCACTAACCAGGTACATAGCCAAGCTCACTGACCAGGTAAATAACACAGCTCACTGACCAGGTAAATAACACAGCTCATTGAGCAGGTAAATATTCAACCTCACTGAGCAGGCAAATAACCCAGCTCACTAACCAGGTACATAACCCATCTCATTGACATAGTAAATAACCCAGCTCACTGACATAGTGAATAACCCAACTCACTAACCAGGTAAATAACCCAGCTCACTAACCAGGTAAATAATCCAGCTTCCTGACAAAGTAAATAACCCAAGCAGGTAAATAACACAGCTCACGGATCAGATAACTTACCCAGCTCACTAAGCAGATAAAAAACCCAGCTCACTGACCAGGTTAATAACCCAGCTAACTGAGCAGGTAAATAATCCAGCTCACTGATCAGGTAAATAATCCAGCTCACTGACATAGTAAATAACCCAGCTCACTGACCAGGTTGGTTTATAATCAAGCTCACTGACCAGGTAAATAACCCAGCTCACTGACCAGAAATAACCCAGCTCACTAAGCAAGTAATTAACCCAGCTCACTGACCAGATAAATAACCCAGCTCACTGACCAGGTAAATAACCCAGCTCCCTGGCCAGGTAAGTACCCAGCTCACTGACCAGGTAAATAACCCAGCTCACTGACCAGAAATAACCCAGCTCACTAAGCAAGTAAATAACCCTGCTCACTGACCAGGTAATAACCCAGCTTGTAATCAGCTCACTAAATAGGTAAATAAGTCAGTTCCCTAACCAGGTAAATAATTCTGCTCACAACCAGGTAAAATGTTATTTTCATGTGCTATCAGAAGTGCTGCTACTATTTTTGTTCCATGGCCTAAACTTGGTTAAATAAAGACAGAAATAGCATTTTTGATAAAATATCTTGCATGGGTGTAAACAGTTTTATATGAATCTAATATTTTTCCTCTCCAATTAGTTTGTGCAGAAAAAGGACCCTAATTACAAAGACATTAAAGAAGATACAGCTTGGAGCATGGACAAGTTTAATCAGTATATTAATGAGAACATAGCCCCACACAAAGAGCTGGAACAGGACTGGGTCTACAACACACTCACTGTAAGTATATACCTCAGACTGTTAGCAAAATCAGATAGTCTTAAAACATAGTTCAATAAAACATTTTATACTCATAGTCAGATTCACTTCAATTATAAGCATAAAGTTTTTATCTCTTGTGATGGAACACCACTGTTCATGAAGATAATAGAAAACAAAGATACATGTCAATAATTCGTACTCACAATTGAAGTTATGTCTACATAATGTTTTCCCTTCAGAAACAAATGCAGAAGATCATGATCCACTGCTTTAACAGTGTTAAACACAAACTCCAGTCCAGGGTTGGATTCTTCGACCTTTTTGGACTGGACTTTATGGTGGATACAGACTTCAAAGTAAGAATACCCTACAAAACAAGTGTATTGGAAAATTAGTCTGTAAGCATAAGGGTAATTATTTAATGAATCTCAAATGCTTAAATAAATTCAGTTAAATCAAGTCCATGAGTTGGCATTTAAGTAAAAATTCTACAATTTGTTTTAAAAAAATGAAAAAAAAATACTTTAAAAAATTCTTTTGGATGGAAGTTAATAGATGCTGGTCAAGAAAGGCAGTGTATCTGGAGATCACAACAGCCAAATATTATGTCAGTTGTCAAGCTGTCTGAAATGTGCAGTGGCCACCAGATAAAATATTTTTCTCACTTGACACTTACTTTCTTAAATTGTAATAAAGTAAGCTGAAGAAATACTGGAAACACTAAAATGCCTCCTTTTTTCCAGATTTACCTGATAGAGATCAATGTGAACCCGGCTCTCCACTGTAATTGTGAGGCACTGAAGGAGGTGATTCCAGGGGTGGTGGAGGAGACACTCTGTAAGTTATAGCTTAATCAGGAATCTCATTGAGTCTGTTAAGAGTCCAGAGAAATATCTGTATCAAACTAATCAAATCTCCATTTGTTTTACAGTTGTGGCCATTGAATGCTTTGAAAAAACACGCAAAAACCAGCAACTACTGCCTTTGAATTCATTAAGAGGTTTTTCTATACTTTACTGTGGTTCTAGGCCATACAATATGCCTTCCAGGCCTAGCCGCAGTGTTTCACCCACGAAAGACAACACACCACAAGAAAAGCGTGCTTCCATTCCAAACACTGCTGTTCCTACTGCACCACGATCTCTCCACCGGTTGAGCACCACCAGTACTCCGGTTGTGTCTGCTCCACCGGTTGTGTCTGCTCCTAAACCAACACTAACAACTGAAAAGTCATCCACTGACAAAAACAGTGAAAAAGACTCCACTATTAAAAAGCAGCCAGTTGTGACTGATGTTCACAGGGTCTCTAACCCCAATGCCAAGCTATCGGATATGGTCTCATTTTCTTCCACTACCCTGCTGGCAGAGGCTGGAAATCTATTAGGCCAGACCTCCAATAAACTGGATGAGTCAGCAACATTGAAAACGAGCCATGGTGATGAGAAACAAACAGAAGAGGATGAAAAACTGAAAAAGGAGGATAGTAACTTGAAGGAAAAGGCACAGTCTGTAGCAAAGAGCTCAGAAGGTGTGGTACTGAACCTTTCTCCTCTTGAAAAACAAAAGTCAACAATGGCTGAGGAGAAGTCAAGTGTTGCTGACTCTCTAGTCAGTTCTACCACCAAGACCACCACAACCACTTCTACCAGCAAAGCAAAACCATTTGTCGGCCGGTTGTCTGGTAACACCACTTCTGTACCTGCTACCTCCTCTGTGACTTCCATCCCAAAATCCAGTCCTGGTGACACCAACTCTTCAGCAACCACCTCAAAGCCAGGACTGACTGAAATCACACCGAAACCAGCACATCCGTACGTTATAATGACTAGCACTACCAGCACAAACCCCATACCAACTAAAAATGTATCAAATTTTCCTCTTATTACAAACAATGGAAATAGAAGTGCTCGCCATAATTCAAACACTCAATCTCTTCGCTCATCCAAAGAGACCAGTGGTAAACTTTCGATTTCTGGAGGCTTGAGTTCAAATCCTTATAATCTCACTAGCTCATTAGGGAAAACTCAAGGCTCTGCAGTGTATCTCAACACAGCCACTACTAGATCTCTTAATGTGACAGGATCTAATGCGTTATCTACCGCAAATTCACATGCAAGCTCAAACAGTGCCAAACTAATGACTGTCCCCTCTGTTACAATATCAGAACCTGGCCCTAAAACAATAGCAACTCTGACTCTAACCAGCTCTAGAAGTGGATTCATGGGAAGAAATGAGGTCAAGTCTGCCGTCCGACGAAGCAGGGATAGGGACAAACCGGACAGGGGGAATTGACTACTACGCTATTCCAAGTACAGCTGGGGGTGACATCTGGTGGGAGAATTAAACAAGGGAAACAACCTAGTCTGTCTCAACAGTCAATGTACAAAGTATCTGTGATATTATGACACAGGGTACCTAAGGGCTTAAAAGGTCTTAATGTTAATCACTTGAAATGTACCCACACAAGCTTAAGTGCAGCACTTTAAATTTTTTAATGAATGTATTTTCTAAGAGCAGGGATATTCATATTAGTAGTAGAATATGAATCAAATCAACTCATCTGCTAGCTTTATCATTTTTTTAATAGAACAGAACTATTTTTTTCACTAATATTTATTGCATTGTACCAACATTAGTATTAAGATACAGGTACTCATAAAATCTATTCAAATCACAATGGTTTAACATTTAAACATTTCAAATATTACAACTCTAATTATTTTAATTTTTTATTTCTGATCCCTATTAAAGATGTGATCCTTTCTTTTTCGCAAAGGCTAGATGTAGTCAAACAAAACTTTTTAAATTAACTTGATAATAGGAACACCTGTCAATGCTGTACTTGGTTTAACCTTTCAAGGTTCACAAGTACCTACATTTATAAATTGGTAGAATGATCAGTTGTTTTTACATTTCTCTGATCATAATATTCCTAAATACACATGTAATAGTATTACAGAAATGACATTCCAGTGCCGTACAGCTGTTTTCATTATTATTTTATTGTGCCAAATGTGAAGGAGATAGATTTTATTTAATTGTAGAGTTTATATCCTATTTATACAGTTTTATTAAACATCTGTGATACCTATGTGATATCTATACTAAAGATGCTTATGACTGAACTCTGCAGTTATTACCAGAAGCTCTCCTGAGTTTGGCCGTGACTTCAGTGAATCACTGAATAATGGGGATTTTTTGTTGCCACATTAAGTTTGGATGAGTTGTGTCTTTGTGCTGAATGTGGTATATTAGCGGTATATACCTTTCTTTTTGTTATGCCTTACATAAATCTTTAATAAATTATTATTATAACACATACATGTCACTTAATCCTTATTGTTCTTTTAAGGTCAAGATCTAGTAAATGAAAGGTGTCTACAAATATATCAAATTTAGGAAATAAATTCCTTTAATGATGCTTTATAACTTTAGCTAGGTCAAATAAGGTGTTTTGGGGCATAATTTGTAGGTAAACAAGATGAAAAATCATATTACATATTGTCATTTCCTATGAAAATTAAGAAAAGCAGTCATGAATATAGGAGTTTTTTCCATATCAGACAAAGAAAATGTATCCAGATTGCCTACAGTCTTATAAAAAACGAAAATTTGTATGTTCATGGCCTCTTTAAAATAATGTTAAATTTAATATAGGTATCGGGACTACTTTTAATGTAATTTCAAATTGAATTCCATGAAAATACTATATTTTCTACATAATTCTATTAGAGCGATAAAGTATGGGAAAAAGAAAATTGAAAGTGATAATGACATCATACGCAGCACAGTTAAGGTTACAAAAAGGAGGCGGAGCCTAATTTGTACGGGAAAACTTGACTATGACATCATACACAATATACGTCATACAGCATTTCTTTAAAATACCACAAAATGAGTTGATTTGCTAATTTAACCAGTAAGAAATGATCCAACTACATTAAAACTTACTACAGCGTGTTGTTTTGACTTTAGTTAAGTCCCACATAACAAGTTATATACATGTCACTGATCGCAATACATTTGTCAATATGACGTCATTTCTTACAACGTGACGTAGTTTGTATGCAGTGAGAGGCAGATCAAGTAATATTTTTCTCAACAAAATATTTATTCTCTAATTAAATAAAATATTATTTACAGATATTCTATGAGCAATAACTTGAATTTAATGTCGTTTTCACTATTTTATTAATATATTTTCTGTACATTACGTATTTAATTGACACTGCCGTATATTTGTATGCAAGTATACCGGAGGGTAATGTGGGGGTCTTAATAAATCGATCTAGTGCAAGGGCATACTCTCTATGGATCATAATAAGCTTTTACATTTCAACTCTAGAACTATTAAGGTATCTGAAAAGTGCTGCGATCCTGATGAAATCTTAAAAACAATTTAATTATATCAATATTTCATGCCGCTGACCATCAAAAAATATAGCATTCGGTCATACAAATATAATTTTAACAATGAAATTGCAGAAATTAGACAGGATCGCAGCACTTTTTAGAAACTACAATGTGTGTTGAAAATAATTATATAATAAATTTGGAAATGAAACTTGGTTATGCCCTTGCACTAGTGATATTTATATGTAACATCAATAATGCAAGTCAATGTGCTAAAATCGCCTGACTGCAGCATCACGTGACTAGTCTAAATATAAAATATATTCGTCCTCGATATGTAGTTATTAATCATAATTACAATTATCTGATATAAATAATGTACTAAAAATAATCGCCATTCCAATTACAAATACATTTTTAAATACAAAATTTAGTCGATATTTCCATTGCGCACCTTAACTGTGCTGCGTAATGGATCTTGCACCAAAAAGTTAGTCTAAAGCAAGGTCTTGACCTTAACATTGAAAGCACATTGGATAACAGATTTTATTAATTGCAGATCTATAGCTCACTGATCTGGAAAAAAAATTGTGAAGAATGTACAAGTCATCCACCCATTTTTTTCCCCCAACCCGTACGAAACAGTCTGGGCGGCTTAGACACGGCTCAGGCACGGATTCCGGCTCCAGAAACCCATGCTTAAGCATTCCGTGCTCCTATGTAAAGTATGCATGGAAAGCCGTGCCTAAAAGTGGTCGAGGCACGGACACGGCACGGGATATTGGCCGAAATATTTAAATGAGATCACACGGTTTTACAAAACCCGTGTCAGAAAGCCGTGCTAGTTTCCATATATGGACTCATGGATTCTGTAAACCCGTGTCTGAAACCTGTGTCCTTTTCCATATATGGAGACACGGTTTTTTGGAAACCCGTGTCAAAAAAGCCGTGCCGTATACCATATAAGGAGTCACGGGATCTGTGCATTTGTTTAGATCTGGGTCATGGCCTTTAGAGAATCTCCTGATCGATGTAACTGTGGATGCCAAAATGGTGACTGAAACCCAAACTAACTTCACATTGCTTTACATTAATGCTTAGTTTTAGAATTTCAAAAGTTAAAAATCTTATATGAATGTGTCCATTTACTTTCTGTTAAAGATTAACTTTATCAGTTACAATCCATGCTAGTTTTTAATTAAGATTTTAATGATAATGTACAATATTCAGTTGTAATTTAATCTAGCTAAGTTTGCACAATCTGAGAAAGAATTTAGTTTAAATAAAACTTTCACTAGCACAGTCACAGATGTCACATAAAATATATACTATAAAGGATTAGTGAAAGTCCAACTAAAGTCATTCAAATAAACCTAAACTATTTCATCATGTTCATTGTCAACATCGCAATACAGGACTTAGATCATGGAAATTAAAAAATTGACTTATTTATTCTAGATTACACTTACTTCATTTAGTTCAAAAGTGAAGAAATTATCCCAGATTGACATAAATACAATTCCTACTGACATCTATTAGTTAAATATCCTTTAAATATAGCAAAAAGACACATTGACTTAGCTCATGACCATGAATCCCTCCAATTTAATATTCAAATAAAGGAAGTTATGATTGAGCATGCTCAGTAAAAAGCCGTGAGATATAAATAAATACAAGTTTGAAGCAAAACCCGCCTGAGTTAAAATCCATCTCCTTGGGACACGGATTCCGTGCCTCCACTGGGGTTTCTGTGAGTGAGGATTCCTCACTTTCCGACACGGAAGCCGTGTCCGTGTCTTGGACATGCAGAACCCGTGTGGATTCCATGTCTTAGCCGTGCCCAAGCCGTGCCTATTCCGCCTCGAACTTTCGTACGGGAAACATTAGTTACGCATCTGCAGCTAGTTCTCTGTCTGTTAATTGCCTTCTGTCTTATAAACAGAATAACTGATGAAGACTGAAGCTCTACTTACATAAACTTAAGTAGGTTGGTGCATGTGTATTTATGTTATTTCTCTGAATTTTAAATCGTCAGTGGAAAGTGAAAAATACATCATGAATCTCTGAAGTACTGAGAATAACAAATAAATATACATACATGTGTACTGCACAGCAAATTCGCAAATTTTACATTTTCTGTCAAGTATGACTGGTTTATATGTTCAAGGACTGGAAGTAAATTTAAAAACTAAATTTTTTTTTTTTTTTTAATTTTTTTTTATTGCCCCAGCAGTATATGATTACATGAATGGCGCCAAGGTTGGGGAGCCCTGGATTCACCAAACTGACAAACAGAGGAATTTAAAGACATTATAGTGCATAATACATATACATAGAATATAAAAAATTTTATGAAATCTTATGATGTATGCATTGTAGTCATTCTTTTAAGATGAAAAATATTTCCAAGAAATGACATTAACATCTCTATGATATATGATAATACTGATCAAATGACTATTCACTTTGTCATGTATGTATGAACATGTTACATGGCACTATTATTTGTAAGTGAACTACTATTAATATGAACACTATAAATTCGACCAGGACAATTTTTCAATGAAAAAAAAAAAAGACAAAAAAAAACAACTAACAAATCCTTTCACACCACATTCATACAATATGTGTATGTATTGACAGATAAGTTATCCAAAAAACAAAAAAAAGAGAAAAAAAATGGATAGCATAGTGATTTTAAACAAGTACATTGTTATTATAAGCATGTACAAATACAGTTTTAACCATTAGAAAACAGAGGGGGAAAAACACCCCATCTCTTTTCAAATATAGGCAGATCATTATTTTTTTAATACATAAATCTCTCAATTTTATAGTAATAACTAATTTCTTTTTTAGCTCCATCAATGGTTGGTAGTGTCTTACAAAGTCTTTTCTTATAAATATGTCTTTTTACTATACATATTAAAAGGTTCAGTATAATATGGTTTTTACCATCTCTAACAAGTATAACATCTATAAGGTTTATTTCAATGTTCTGGTCAGTTTTATCATTTATCCATTCTACTAGATTATTCCATAGTATATCAACATATAAACATCCCCAAAACAAGTGGGTGATCGATTCAGGATGCATACCACAAAAAGTACAGAGATCAGAATTTACAATCCCTATTTTTTTAAAATAAACATTGGTGCTCAAAATTCTATGTACAATTCGATATTGAAACCATCTAAGTTGTACATCTTCAGTGATACTAAAAATAATCTTATTATGAGTTTTCCACCACATTTGGTTTACATTCAAATCTAAAGCATTTTCCCATTTACTTTCATATTTAGGTTTATTCCA